TGCTTAAAAAAAAACTGAGAATGCTGTGACTTCGCAGACCACAGGACTTCAGAGGATGATGGATGCCCTTCAGCACTCGGTCTTCCAAAAAGGAGATGACTGAGAGGTCTTCCAAAAAGGAGATGACTGAGAGGCGGAGAAGCCACCAACAGGTGTGACCATGGTCGATCGAAAACGAGGTCTGAACACATCTGAACGACCACAGCGGAGACAGGAGCTTCTGGCATCACACTTTCTCTCTCTCTATATATATAATATGCTTTAATTCAATGTTCAATATAGGTCATGTTGTATACAATATGATATACTATATATAATCCCTTCGCTTCGTACTATACAACAAATATTCAATTACGTTTTCCTCTTCTATAGTGGTTGATGCTCGGCAAAACCCTGTTCAGTGGGCGAATGTCTCACTCGAGGCCCTCTTTAGAAAGCTAGTAGGTGGTATGTCCAAACCTAATACCTTGTGTGCATACTGACTGGTTGTGCGCGGTGACAGGAACCCAAACAAACCAAAACCATATCTAAGCCATGATGTTGTAGAGAACTTCCCGGTAACTATCCAGTAGTAGACCCTCCCCTGAAGAACTAATGCAAGGAGGAGACCCTCCCCACGTCCGGTCTCAGCTCCAGGCAGGTCTCAGTGACTTCACCCGCCTCGCGACTCGTTGGTCACGAGGGAGAGGCGATGCGAGTGCGGATGCCGAGCGAACGGTAGCAAATGGTTGATGCTCCAAGACCAGGAGACTTGATAGGAAGGGCAATACACGGGAGGGATGATGTTTGCTTTGTATCTGTTGTTTTCACTTCAAAATCAACTTGAACAGGTGGTCAATGAACGCAAGAGTGTAATCATTTCATTGTTTGTAAGATATATATATTATAGTACATACAAATATATAGTACATTTTAGTACCACGGCCTTTTATTTACACACCGCCATTTGTTTGCTGGTTTCTTCTTTACAATATATGTTTGTCAGGCTTCTTGCTCTTCGCTGGTGCCTCACCCACTGGACTGCCAAACATGCACCTTCCTGCAGAGTAGTGGTTTCAGAGTAGATGGCGCTGGCACCCGAAGAGGTCTTAGACAAAGGATCCAGGATCCATATATATATATATATATATATCAACCACCTTTTGGGGATGGGGATCCATCCGCCATCTGAAAGCCCAAAAAGCCCAAAAAGCCCACGCCCCCGGCTGCAGTCGTCAGTGAGCGGGAGTGAGTAGGTACTGCTTGGGTGTGACGCCCAGCCAGCAGAGATGGTGCCCGATCGGTCGTTTCCCGGCGCCTGGCTGGACGACAAGGAGCTACGGTGCGACGTCAGTCTCTTCCGCAGGCCGCGCCTCGTGTCGACCGAGGCATCCAGGACTTCTGACTTTCTGGGTGAAAAAAGTACATCCTAACTGACTGGTGGCAGGGAATGAGGGAATGGATCCAATAGAATCTCTATTGGGGGCTCATTCCGGAAAAAACAGGTGTCAAACACATGAAACGGTGACATCTTTCAGGGATCTATGCCAAGCTCGTAGAACCGAATTACTACAACCATAACCGATATTATCCTATATATGAACTACTGTACGCTATCTCCATGGGATTAGAGCAAAAAGCAATTGCAATAGGCAGGTGCAGGTATGCGGCGATCCTAGAAGTATTGCGGTGATGATCAAAATCATAAGAATGTTGAAGGCTTTATTATCTATATGTAATACTTAAATGATAGATGAAATGGGATCATTCTCCATCCAACATGCTCATGGACCTGTTTGAGGTCTCACATCCCGTTTGTGTTTCGGTCGAGGAACATCCATTCCGCAAAGCTGGTCACTCTTCCAGCAGTTCGGAGCCTAGAACAGAAGGCTGTTCAATTGAGAGTTTTGCCAAGCGTTCACCCATTCGGACAGGTCGTATCGTGCTTCATTTGGAGAACTCTTCCAGCAGCAAGAGGTGCGCCAGGAAACCTTCCAACGCCCTTCTTGCCACCCTCACTACCTCATGATTGAAGATCCCCATGGCAACAAACAGCGGGACAACCTCGCTGATGTTATAGAGGATGCAGGATGCACTCTGAGGAAAACTCAAATGGACGTGGAGTGCACCACCTGTTTGGTCTGCGGACAAATGTTCATCCAAGTGGCCCTTGTTCCATCCATGTCACCGATGATTTCGCGTCCCATCAGGTCTGTTTCCAAGGAACTCGCAAGGTGTGTCAGCAGGCAAGCTGACTCTTAGGTAACTCTTTCTCTTCACAGCGGTTCCGGGCTTACGGAGGTGATCAGCGGTGCTCTGAGTTGAAACATGTGACTTCTTGTGCTGAGCCTCTTAGAGGTTAAGGGGTGTCCATAAATCACCTGTTGGAAGCTCCTGGACGATGTTCTTTGCAGGACTTCTTCCGAACCAGTCGACCTGAGAAAACCCGGCCACTCTCACAAAAGTTCCTCACAGCCCATGAGTTCCTCACAGCCATCTGACGAAACCCTTGGAATGTATGCTTCAAACACCTGCAACTTGGGTATATCCCATGACCAGGGCCCAGTGAATGATGGTTAGTAAAGGTTGGGAATAGCCCATTACCTGCAACAGTGGATGATGATGGTTATATAGTAAAGGCCTTGCTCTAAAATAGTGAGAATTCACGATAATTGTTTATAGAACAAAATAAGGAGCCTTTCACCGACAAGGAAATGGGCCACACCCTACCTGTAACCAGGGTTTTCCTTCAGACTTGGATGCTAAAAAATACGTTAGTCACGGGGGACTGCTGATGTTTAGGCCAGTTTCCCTTGACCAGCTTCAGGGGGCACCAAGTATAACCCGTTATATATATAACCCCAGTTGCAACAGGAATTCTCCTCCAGTTCCACCACTTACAGACCATCCGTTGTCCTATTCTGGTTGGTGGTTTCAACTTACTTTACAAAAATGAGTCAGAGGGTTCAATCATCCCAAGTCAAGGTAGAAATAGAACATCTCCGAAACCACCACCCAGCACTGTCTACGTCCCAAGCTGGTACCCCCGCTCCATGCGAGCTGGGCCGCCGGGCGCCAAGCTGCTGGAGAGTGAGGCGTCGGTGGCGGCCAAGCGGTCCAAGGCATCCAAGAGGGAGACCTCCAAGACCACCTGCGCAGCATTGGGTCCGAGGCTCCGGTCTTTACCGGGATTGCCAGGGGAAAAAGGAGACCGGAAAGGTCCGGAAACCACGTTTTCACGCCAAAAAGAGGGGTGGCTGTGAGGTGTCCTGTAAGGTTGGTCCTTTAACAAAACATTGACATCCGTTGGTTGGCGTCAAGTTCTCCAACGACACGGCGCCACACGCTCAATGGTTGGGTTGCTTGAGGCTTTGAGTAATCGTTTGACGTCTGATGGCAGGTATTTGTTCAACAAGCTCGAAGACTCTGCAAAGACCATTTGGCAGGCCTTGGAATGTCTAGTACCTGGTGGAACTGGATTCCATGCGGCTCAAGATATGAGAGAAACCCGTGGACACACTTTGGATGGCATTCTATGATTGAGCTTTGTACTCACACAACGAGAGAACTGAGCTGTATCCACACTTGGAACAAACGAAGAACGACAAACATAGAAATTCAACGCTGACAGCGTGAGCTCCGTAAAAACCCAGGTATTTACAGTGAGCTTCGTTGCACAGGAATCCTTGAAGCTCTGCGATGCCTGTAGTTTGACCTGCCATTTCCGTCACGAATCCTACAGTGGGTCTCATTCTCAATGATTACAGCCCACTCAATGAAACCAACGGCAACATGAAAACAAAAATAAAAAAATAAAAACATCGGTGCCCGACATGACCTCCTCCCCGTGGACTCATCGGAGCGATCGACCGGAGCGTCCACCTCTTCGCCGGTCGAGGACTCCACCTGCGGCGAGGGAGGGGAGGTCAGCAACCAAGGACGGAACGTCAGATGGGGTGGTGGGTTCAATCATCCCAAGCACAGGTGGAACCTGAGAAAGGAGGTCCGAAAGGCAGTAGAAACCAGTTTGCAGTTTGCAGGTCAACAAGATTTACAAGGTAAAGAGGCAAGGAGCAGTTGCCAAAGCATTCAAACACCAAGAGCCTGTGTATGAAACACACAGGGGCCAAAGTCTACAAGAGAGTTGACCAAAGCGACTCAGAAGCATGATTCCAGCTAAACAAGCAGCACAACCAGCACTATAGTGCACAAGCAAACAACACCAGCAAGCCAGCAAACCAAGGGCCGCAGATCAGCAAATAAGCAAACCAGGGCTCTGATAGCAATCACCACCACGAATGCCTTGCTAATGCAATTGTTGCCGCTACCAATGTGGCTCTGTGCATTGTCTGCATCGCTAAGTCATCCAAACTGGCCTCCACCAACAATTGTGGCCATCTGCGCACCCTCACACCCGCTTTTGCAAAAACTACATGACATATACTACAGCCTAGCCTACCGGCTGGCTTTCGTTTAAAAGAAGAAACTGAAACCACAAAGTGATTCTTCCGTTGTAGGATGTTGTAGGTACAGAACTACCCCAACACCCTCCTCGGACGATCAAACTTTCAGGAACAGGCCAAATCATGCCAAATCAACTAAGACCCGACCAGGTTGAAGGGGGGTCTCCTTCCACTTCTAACATACCCATACAGTTGTAATTTGTCTGACTGTATAGAAATCAACAGGAGCAGTGCCTGACTAGTGACTAGTTGATGACACAGGGGGAGGGTCCAAGGACGACTAACCCTCACATACTCATCTTCATCGATTGACCCCCTCTGTGCATCTCCGTTTCCCAGAGTTCCACCCCTAAAACAGTTGGAAAGCAGTTGGACCTATATAATTTGGAGAACCTTGCATTTGAGCCCCTAGCCTACTGCTGTTGGCTGGCTGCTAGCGTCTCCGACCACGCTGGCTCAAGCCGTTCCACGACACCAGGAGGAACGTCGAAGGCTGTTGCTGAAACGAGAGTCAACCACACAATGTTCTTTGAAACATCGGGAAGATCTATTCTGGAAGCATAATGAAGCGGGGTACCACCTGCATCCACCTGCAGTAGGAGGAAGTCAGCTTCCAAAAGACACACCTCCACTTTGCTGCACATGTGTTGGTGGCCAGAAAGCGGGGGAATTGAGGGAGAACCTATATAGAGCACCAGTTGGCTGTAGGTCGTAGGTAAAAAAACTTGACACCCTTGCCTGCTGTCAGAATGACTCTTCCGATCAGTACTCCGACATGTAAAAGGATCGATGGTCGTGTCTTTTTCACTGTTTCCCAAGATAGAGATGATAGCCTCGCCCACAGACTGCTAAATAACGTCAACAACTTAAGGCGTCGGGTTCTTCCAGAAAAGAGACTCGTGAGTCACGCGAGTGGATGGATCTTATGGGACTGAGCCCACGGGACAACACACTTTTCTCATGTCAAGCACCGGCTGAACTGCCACCCGTCACTGACATGCTACACGTTGCATCAAAGTTTCCACTCAATCAGCGGACGCTGGCTTGGGTTTTGGTTACTGTTGCGGGCAATCATGCAGGACAGGGCGTTAAAGGTCTTCTTTGGAGCAAGCCTGTATTTCTGGATATAAACCTTCATCGCATCCAACATGCCCTCAGGTGAGCACCCAACTTGCGATTTTGCCAAGAGCTGTTCTCTCAGCAATATCTGCTGTATGCGCTCGTGTCCATCACCCAGCTTTTTCCACTGACATCCAGATGCATGGGAGAGGAAAGCTGCTCGCAACTTCTCTTGCACATCGCCGCTGCTATCGTTCTGGTCAGGCAACATGCCAACCTTCTTTAGCAAGACCTTGTTTGTAGACACATTCACAAAACTGAACATTGCCTCTGCTTCGTCAGTGTTCAAGACATGGTCAAGATAGCCAAGTCTCCTCAAGGCCGTGGATACGAGGTTCGGTGAATCCTTCAACATGAATGGGCCACCAGCTCTGAAAATCGACCGAGCCAGGGGGTTCCCATATGGCTCGCACCCACTCTTGACCAGTCCCAGAGTAGGCGTGAAAAATGCTAAGTCGTGATCGTACCGCTTCCACGACCTTACCAGTGACGGCTGACTGATGACCTCCTGCACAGCCAGTGTCCCAAGCTGTTCAGGGAAGACCACCAACGGTCCCAATCCATGTGCAAACCAGAACTTCGCACAAGCCGGGGCAAGGAACTTCCCAGTGTTCATGTATCCCAAGTCTCCAAGCAAGCCCGTAACTTGGTCTAGCTTGGTGTACTCAATTGACTTGTAGCGCTCTGCAAGCTCCACTGAACCTTCTCCATCATTGTGAAGGATCGCTCGCACTCGTGAGCCCCGTTCTGTCTGGGCCTCTAGCTGCACAACCTCCACGCCTAATTCCTTGTACCTTCGAATTGCTGAACAGCAGTACTCGGGAGTCACCACAGTCACTTTGGCCCCAGCAGCCGTTGCCTTGAGGATGGTGTCTGTGAACCCTAGGTCTGATGTCAACAACGCAATGCGATTGACAGAGCTGTCACCAACTAGCTCCTGAATGGCTGAGGTCATTGCCTCATCGTTGGGTTCTTTGGCATGGTTGACCTCAGTGGAGCGTTTGACCGGACAGAACGTGATACCAGTCTCCTGCATCAACCGACCCCATTTCTTGTTGTCCTTTCTTGCAGGAGCAGCAAAAATCTTCGTTTGCACCACTCCAGCCTCATCTTCCAAACGACTGATCGCTTGTCTGATCTCATCTACACTGTGTAAATCTGCATCAACAAGAAGTTCGGTCCGCGTCTGTAGCTCTTTCAAAGTCCCAAAACCACACCAACCCAAACATCCAAACTTGTGGATTGTGCGGCCTGCTGGCAAGCCCTCGCCGACATGTGGCAGACTCCACAGTGGGAGCCGAAGCACGTTGAAGGCCCTCATCCTTCGTTCACCGCAGCGACAGCACGAACCACACTCTGCTACTGTTTCAACTAGTGCTTGAGCAATACATCAAGCTCCAAAGTGCGAGCAAAGGATCCGCTCTCAGCCACTGCCATCTATTCTGAGAAAAAGCAATCAGAAACCGTCTTCAACCAGTTGAAGAAGGGGTGAAACCAACCATCGATATGATATGACCATTCAGAATTCTGCTGTGCAAAGTCAAGGTCTAAAATTCCACCTAGAGCTGCCCACACTTGCTTGCGCAAGTGTCATCCAGAATCTATAGGGACATGCACACACTCCCTTGAAAAAGAATCACGGGCTCACGTGGATGGCAATGAGCCCTTCGTTTCGCCTTGGATGACCAGTTTCCGAAGACAAAACAGGTGTTGAAGTCCACTTCTGCGTGAGTGACCTTGGACTCTCTCGGAGAGAGAAGCCACGTAAGAAGCCACGTACATCCACGCCGCCTTCACTGCGAAGCGCCGTTGGGCGGACGACGCCAAGCCACGGCCCATGGCCTGGCGTGATGGCATTGGTCGCTGAAGGAATCCCTATAGGGAAAACCTTGGAATATCCTAGGTACCTTCTGAGGGTGCTTGGAGCATCTTGGAGCTGCTTGGAGCATCTTGGAGCCACAATTGTAGCATCTTGGAGCCACAAGTTGGAGGAGTTCGGGAAGATGATCAGGTCTATGAGAAGCCAAGCCAACGTCTGGGTGCTTCAGTGCCCAAGCACGACTCTTTTCGGGTCTCTACAGAGCAACGGGTGTTCGGAGGTTCTCTCATGCGGGCAGCCCTAAGCATCGATACCAATACCCTTGGAGTTGGGACGTGTGATGTCAAAGTATAGACATGCGAGCAGCCGCTTTTTTGGGGGGCACACACAACTCCACCAACCACCGGATTCCCCCCACTTTCGACTACGACGGTCATTTCGAAACGGGGGAGAATCAATCCCAGGTCACGAACCAAAAACAACCAATCGAAAAAGACCTCCACACATCAAACCTTTGGCTCGCAGAACGATCTCCGGGAGCTCTGCCCTCTGTTAGAAGGACTTAAACATAAATATAAATACACATGTACATAATTACCAGCTCCCTCCAACAGGTCTCCTCTGGTGGCATTCGGAGACTTAAAAGTAGCAGGTGGTGACCTGTTGGATGGTGCTATGTTGAATATCATCCATGAATATCCCAGCTCAGCTTCCTCCAAACCAGCCAGTGACTTCTCCGCATCTGTCCCAGCTCGAACCCTCCACCTGCGCCAGCCAGAAGAGCTGCATCTCCTCCGTCGGCAGCTCCATCTGGGCGTTCGGCGCATCCATGCATTAAATCATTAGCAACGCCGCCTCCCCCAGTTCTGTTGAATACTTTTTAATGCTACGCTTTCGTACGCTTATAGTATGTTTCGTACGCTTATAGTTTATCTGGGACATGACCCTCTCTGCCAAACAGGTGCTGGCACCTATATTCAAGCTATTTTGGGGAGTAAATGCATAAGGTTCCAAGTCTCTTTGGACAGGTGTCATATTCGATCTGCTTTAACAGGACTGTATAATATGTTGTAAAAATCCGCCGACCCCACACCGTGGGGTGAGGCGTGACTGTCGATGTTAGCCTTAGGCCTTAGCCTTAGCCTTAGTCCTTAGCCTTAGACCTAGTCCTTAGCCTTAGACCTAGACCTAGACTTACCTCCCCTACCCCTCCGGACCCTTGTTGCAGTTACGAAATCGTGCCCTGAAAGCTACCTGAGCGACCCGGGAATTGTCCAAGATTCTGCCATCCCAATTGATTTACATCTTGGGGTACCCTCTCGACCCGCGCGGGAAAATAAGCACGGTCCAAAATGGTCCTGGGCTCGAATCCCGGGCTGGTCGCGGCATGGTCCCGGCCAATGCCCTTGCTTTTTCGTAGATTTTGTCACGTTTTCTGTTGGTTTATGAGATTTTCAAAGGCTTTTCTGGCATTTTCCTAGGAATGCTCTAGGCTTTGTCTTTTTGGGTACCTGCTTTGGTGGTGCTGGGTTGGGTCTAAATTGGTAAATCTGGGAGGTACCCAAAAAGTCGACTTTTTGGGTACCTGCTTTGGTGGTGAAGGGTTGGGTCTAAATTCTTGGGCAATGATCGGGGTTCATGCAAGAGCTGACGTCCGATGGTAAATCTGGGAGGTACCCAAAAAGTCGACTTTTTGGGTACCTGCTTTGGTCGTGCTGGGTTGGGTCTGCACTCTTAAGGCTAAGGCTAAGGCTTAAGGCTAAGGCTAACATAGAGCAAGGCTAGCGCTAAGGTTCTATCCCTTGGGGGTCGGCGGCTGCAGGCGGTAGCCTGGTAAATAGCTGTTCTCACAATTCCTGAAAGCTGAAGACATCACAGAACTCCCCCTAAAGAGAGCAATTAAACTATGCGGATCACGAGTTCATGTATCAGCTTGACCCAACTGAGCCACCCCGATCTGCATGGATCCGCCATAGCAAACAAACACATTGTGCTGGTTGCTGTGTAGTGCAGTCTCATCCTGCAGCCAATTCATGGAAAAAATACCAGTCCTGAACCTTGTTCAGAAAACATGTCCGTGAACTTAAGCAAAGCACAACATTTTGTCGCCACCGCGCAAACAACACTTAGAGTGTGTTCCGTCCTAACATGCAGCGCCATGGAAATCAAGACATCATCATGTTGCAGTCACCCGCCCTCTGCAACCTGCCTCTCATGTATAAAGCACAAAGAACTGCCACCCTCCGTCTATGACGTTCCCCTGCCATCGGCACCTCCATCTGCGCATCCGTCCCTTCAGCCTTTCGACCGAGGCTGGTGGGGCGAACGACGAGCCAACCATCCGAGATGGAGCGGTTCTTGGTGATTTCTCTATCATCCGGGAGCGACCAGGAGACCTTGGTTCACCTACCTTGGAGGTCAAGCTACATGGTGGATGAGGGCTCCGGGTTTTGACCCATCTCCATATAATCTTGGAGCGAGTTGGATCCTGGGAGAGCATTTTTGTTCATTTCGAGGTTCCTAGATAGGCCTCTATAGAGGCCCCGTGCAAGAGAGCGAGTCGAGTCCATCTTCCAAGATGCTCACAAGAACATTGATTAGGTGGTGAAACGAAATCAAGAGTCCATATTATTGGAAGGTGAGTTTAGCAAGACTATGAGCCTTTCAGCACTTGCAAAACATAACACACTTGGAAGTTCATTATGTGGGGCCAACTGAGCATCTATGCCGAGATAAGAGAACACCAAGTCATCAACTGTCTGTTTGAATTGTGTCTATAGGTGCCCAGAGGTCAGGTGCAAGAGGCTCACCGAGGCTCGCTGAGTCCAGCAAATTCTCGACACAAAATGACACGAAAAACAAAACATGCTTGAAGCTGCCAAGAAGGACCTGACGTCTTAATCCTTTAACATTTACCATCACTGTACAGCCATCGGTACTTTTCGCGCCACACTAGAGCCGATAGCCTCTGCAAAAGAACTTGTGCAAACGTCCAATTTGTGTACACGCCTTCACCAGTGTTGAATTCTACTCTTCTTGAAGCGGCTACTGGAACTCTTGAACGAAGCGTTGCTTTCTTCGGTGTTCTTTTCACTCACTCCACCCCGCCATGCAGCACCCCGCACCCCGACCCCGGCGGCCACCTCTGGACCGGGACTCGCATAGCTGGAGCCTTGGTGGGACTTGTCACCACGAGGAAGTCAGCGCTTTAACAGAGTCGAGTGGATGTTATAAAATTCCTCACAAAGTTCCCCCCAGAAATATATTGGGGGGTCACATGCTTTTTTCACCATGTATCCTGGTTCTGCTGGATGAACACATGTGTTTTAATACTTTGGGGATCTCCTGAAAGTGTCAAGATTGCGTAGAAGGGGAATGTCAATGTCTCGTTTTGCTATATCTTTAGCAATCGTTATCAATCAAGTGTATCAGCGTATTGTCTGAGTCTTAATGACATCTAAAGACTATATGTTGATCCTCTGCACGATTGCTTGTGCTAGTAAAGACTCCTCATTCCTGCCAAACAAAACCACCTGGTTGGGGGATGGGGACCTGGATTGATCATGATTGATGTGGGTTTTTATGGCGTTCTGCTCTACCTGGAGCTAGGCACTGGTAAGTGGAATGCAAAACAGCAAAGCACCATGTTGATCCAGCTCCTGGATAAACCCATTTGGGTTTCCTGTTGAAACAGGTAAATGAAATGATACTTCGACTGCGACTGTCTAACCCACACTAATTACTACTAGTTAGAGGAAGAAATCTCTCATAATCTGAGGCAAAGATAAACAACAGCCGGTTCTTTTTGGGGCTTCAATCTGGTGCAGTTCTTCCAAGCGCTCCCTTCGCTCTTCCCAGGTGCGTCACCAATTTCACAACGGCCAACGCTCACTCCCAGTGACGCAGGGCCAGAAGCAACGAGAGCACCTGGGAGGAGGACCGAGCGGAGCGGATCGGTCCTAACAGGTCGGTCGATTGGTCTCCTGGACCGGCGCTGGTTGAGAGCGCAGGGAGAAGCGCTAACTGGTGATTATGTTGAGAGCCCCAAAACTTCATTCTCTCCAACTGAGCCTTTGGTCACCCTGTTCGGCTGTTGGATGTGGCGTAGACTCGGGGTAGGCACCACGCACAGCTGGATCCCGATGCTCCACCATGAATCCAAACAGAAAACACCCGAATTCGATGCTTGACGACCAACTTGCTCAGGAAGCGCAAAAGCCTTGCTGTGATCGATGCAGCTTCCTGCGTCCTCCGATCAAACCCAAAAAGGCCCGAATCCTGGACCCCCAGGTCACACCAAACGGAGGATCTCCCCTGTCTGTTGGGTGCAATATGGTATGTAGACTTCATCAACCCCTCCATAATGAGGTTTTACACTCCAAATGGGTGGGGGGCTTTATGAATCAAGAGTCCTGTGACACTCCGAGGTGCTACTTGGCCAATGACACCCGGGTCCTGCAGGGTTGTCCCTCCCCCTATGAGCGATCTGTGAAACCCTGGCTTTGTAGTGACACATCCGCCATCCAAACGTCTGATGTTTCACGTTTCACTCAATGTCACAGACGTGCATCAATTCTTCCATCAGACTTTTATCAGAGGTACCGAAGTTGTTGATAGGTTCCTTAACTTAACCATTAAGCTGCTTAAGCTTCAATCTTGTTTGGGCTGTTCCATTTGCCATCAAGTTCTTCCAAAAGTCTTCCAACTGGAAAAAGACTTGGGAACCCTGTGCTTTGCAAACTATAACCTCAGTCTTCCCATCTAATCTGATACCAAACGTCCGTAATTACAGCTTTTTAGATTCTTCTCAATATCCTCGGATCAATGGCCCAA